ATATACGGCTCTGTGTTGCACGCTGAGCTCCCCAGAGCAGAGCATTCAAGAATGATACATGCCACATCACTGAGGAAAAAAAGTTATCTCGTCAGTTCCAGAGGTTTTCTATTTTCAATGCAATTTAGCAACCAGATTTTAGACCTTTGTAAGAAAGCCCACAGCAGCAAGGAAAGAGGCATGAAGCAGGCTGGAAATACTGAACCAATTACACTTAGTTCATATTTGAAAGTAAGTCTTTGCAAAATGAGAAATGTTTATTTTTTCAAGTGATCATGTGTATAAAACACAAAGAGCCTTCTATACTGGCAGGCATGGTCCCGGAGAGGAGACCTCCTGACAGCTGGCACACAGAATTCCTTCCAGTTAAAGGTATGTTTAAGTATAAATAAGAGCAAGATTAGAAAGGACCACCAGACTTGGCATCAGCAATGAGACCCCAAATTCTAGTCATTTCACCATCTACAGAGAGACAGAGAAGTACTGTCACAACCCCCAGGTACAAACCTACTCACATCATGCTGCAGAGACTACCAACACCAGGCATGAGTGTACTACAGGAAGGTTTATGCTTATGTAGTTAAAGACTACACTGCAAAAAACATTAACATGTTTTACATCCCTATGTCACACTTTTCTTTAAATGGTATTTTAATTAATTTGTATCTTCCACAGAGACAAGAGACAGAGGAATTAACTCTACATTTAATGGGTTACAAGCATCACCAAGCTGAGCCTCCCCTGCGATCATTAGCTGCTTCTGTGCATAGCTAGACTGGCTTCAGTTTGGTAGGAGGTAATTTTAAGTTGTCATTATCTTTGCCACTATACCTTTCTCCTGGCTGCAGCTTTGGCAAGGGTTACACAAGACCAAAGTCCTATACATCAAGTCAATATTTAACTTAAGCACTGCACTGTTGAGACCCGCCTAGAGTATTTGATATAGTAACTTATTAAATCTTACACTATCTTTTCTAACAAAGAATAATAAAAGACAATTTATCTTCTTTATGAGAAGTTGTAAAGATAAATTCTACAAGGATAGCAGTTAGATTAATCTTTAATAATTTTAATAAGGGACCTAAAAGAAAATGTTTCCATAAAAAGAGTTCTAAACAATATGATGTGTACACTGCAGAATAGGTTCAAGACAGGGGCAAGAGCCACAGCACAAAAATCATTTAAACCACACCAAGTTCTGGAAATTCAGCACTTTTTCAAGAAGCAGTATTTTAACACTGCAATTAAGCCATTAAACTGTGTCACAAAGGCTTATATAAAACTCTTGGACATTACAAGGAGAAGTATTTATTCTCCACTAAATATCTGAATAAAATCTATGAGCTGCTGTACTAACATAGACTTTAAAATAATACAATAAACAAAAGACTGATTTTTTTCAGGCCGATTGTTCTCAGTCTTAGTGAAGCTAACCAAACTGTTTAGATCAAAAAAAAAATTCTTTGCTTGCCTCTGATGTAAATAAAGTTTTGCTAATAGCCTCATCTTTTATCATCTTTTTGGACAGAGATCTTTCTGATGTCAGAAGCAGCTGCTAAAATACTGTTCAGACCAAAACTGAGCAACTGAGAGCAATTTTTTGTTTACTACACGTTTCAATTCTTTATCCACCTGTTTTTTGTGTCTAAATGCAATTTCTTTATTTATTGCTAGTACTCCCATCTTTACATTTAGCAACAACTGCTTTTGTTCTCTAAAACTGAACATCTGTTTTAGCAGTTATTGGTGATAATCACCACAGGTCAATTTCTAAAAATTCTCCAGTTCTACATTTGTAACCTTCCACATGTACCAGTTTGGTCATCACCCAAAAGTAAACTTCTTCAGGAAACAAAAAAATATTTCAACTGTGAAAG